CTACATTACAGATTTAGGCTTTCCAATATGGTAGCCAGTGGTACATTAAAATGTGGGTAGAATGCATTAAGATGTTGTAAAAGTAAAGTACACACTAGGTTTTGAGTGACCTTATTAAGAACGCTTTTGATTTTAGTTACATATTGAATATATTATTAAAATTAGTTTCACTGGCTTCTTTTTATTTTTTTTAAATATGGCTGCTAGAAAATTTTAAATTACATAACATGGTTCATAACATTCTGTTGGATAGCATTATTTATCACACAAACATCTTTAAAAGGAGGAGGATTTACCACACAGTTTTAATGTGATTTTATTGTACTGAACACCTTTCTCATTCTTCTGATACAGGTTCTACTGTAAACCCTTGTTTCTTTTTTTTTTTTTCCTCCTGGTAATGTAATGATAACTTGACAGAAAAAAGTAATAAGGCCAGGCATCAATACCATGTATATTGACTATAGAATGTGAAATATGTTAGAAGTTTAGGCACTAAAAGTAAAAGAATTTTGTTTGGGAAGCCTGAGCCTACAGGACCAGAGAACACCAAGTATGTGAATGGTCCTGGGCCTCTGAACGTATCTCCAGAAGGGAGGGATTGTTATTAAGGAAGGTTATTGTAAGATGGTGTCGTGGAGTATTGTCTTTTTCAGGTGTGAATTCACCATTTGGAATATGGATATCCTACAGATCTCAATTCAAGTAAGATGGACTATCTGTAGTTGAGATACTTTTCAGAAATCCCAATCTTAACCTACTGTCAAAACCTTGATTAAAAAATGAATGATATTTGCAAACCACCAAAGAAAATACTACCTGTCCATCTGATAACATTCTGATCAACAACTATAATACATTTGGATCACTTAAACCACTGCCCTGTCCAAATGTCCTCACTTAACCACAGTTACAGACCATGATTTTGGTTTTTTTTTTTTTAAGATTTTATTTATTTATTTGACAGACAAAGATCACAAGTAGGCAGAGAGGCAGGCAGAGAGAGAGAGAGAGAGGAAGAAGCAGGCTCCCTGCTGAGCAGAGAGCCCAATGCGGGGCTCGATCCTAGGACCCTGAGACCATGACCTGAGCCGAAAGCAGAGGCTTTAACCCACTGAGCCACACAGGCACCCCTGATTTTGGTTTTTTTAAATCAAGACTTGACATAAGAAATGGACATCTGAAACACACATGAAATGTTTTTGCAAAACAGATACTGTCCATCTCAGAGTCTCTGCAGTTAGGATCCATATGAATAATTTCCTCCTTGATTTTAAAACCTGTAAAAAAGTTGTTCTCACCTCAAAAACTCATCTTTCCTTCTACTAGATAAAGAGGTCCCGTGACACTGCTTTTTTACCTTGGGTAATCATGATCTCAGAATCAATTAGTACTTAATTGTGGTAATAGGTTAATTCTTGTTCTTGATAAAATTATCTTTCTCTAGCTTCTTCTCACTCTTTTTTTTTTTTAAATTTGAAATACGCTGGGTACATAATTATAGTGGTGGCTTTTACAGGGTGGAAGTTTGTGTTCAGTTACCCTGGCATGGGAAGTAATCGCTCACCCTCTACCCCTAACCCAACCACATGTGATCCCAGGGAAAGCTTTCACTCTGTCCTCAGTTGGGGTTTTGCCATGTTTTGATTTTTTCTGATGGAATATGTAGGGGGACATCAGAAGCCAGACTGAATAAAGATATAACATATTAAGAGGAGTCTGAAGAAAAAAAACTCTCTAGACTAGTGAAACAAAGAAGGATTACCAAGTGAGAAAAGTGACAGTTATAAAACCTTGAGTTAAAGGTTCAGTTATATAGTGGAGTTGTGTCCTACTATTTTATATGAATCCTTTCTAATCTACAATGTCCTATGTGATTGATTTTTAACCTACCTCTCCAGCATTATCCTGTCTCCCCCTTTGCTTATTTGCTGCTACAGACGTACTGACCTTTATGTTCAACTCTGCCAACCTCATCCCTGCCTCAGGGCCTTTGCACTAGCCTTGCCTTCTACATGAAACACTCTCACCACATCTTCATAAGTCTACTTGTTATTATTCAGGTTTCAGCTCAGACAACACTTAATGAGAGAGACCTTTTGAAGAAGACCGTTGGAAGAAGCCCTTGTACCTTTAATCCCTCTCTATCACATCACCTCATTTATTCATTGACCTCCTCACTACCTAAAATCACTTGGTCATGTCCCCCCTTTATAATGAAAGCTACCTGAGATTAGAGATGTTCTTTGTCTTGTTCACATCTCTATTTCAGCACTAGGAGTGCTAGGCATATAGAAGATATGTTTGTTTACTCATTTATTAGTTTCTTGGGTCAGGTCCCCCATGAAGCAGACATTCAGATGGATCACTTATTGACAGGAGCCTTTGGGATTAATACCTGTGAGCAGGGATGGATGTAGGTTTAGAGAGGGGGCAGAGCTGGCCTGTGATCTAGTCATAGCAAAGCTTCAGTCAATCCCAGAGGAAACTGGAGTCGGGATAGCCCTTCATGGTCATCCCACCTTCAGGTAAGAGTGCTGGTTCTCTATACCTCTGGAAAGAGGACAAAACCTTGGGCCACTCAGCTCTCCTCAGTTAGGGCAATTTCTGGAATAAGACCCATCTGTGAGCTCTACTCCCAGCACTTTGTCCTGAAGGCAGGTCCAAAATCTAGGCCACACCCCTGTCACCCACTATACCTCCTACCTGCTGCAAGTGAAGAATGGTTCTAGATGCTGGTGACACAGCAGTGAACTGAGGAAACATAGATCCTTGGTCTTGCACAGCTTAATGTTAGTAGATGGATGACTTGGTCAATCTGTCACCTGTGTCTGCATTGTGTCCTCACACTGACAACACACTTTTAGAATTGTAAACCATTGAAAGACCGTGGTTCTTCAGGGGGCAAAATAAAGAAGGAGAACCCCTGAGTCCTTTGATGGAAACTAGCATAAACCAATATCCCTAGAATAGCAAGAGCGGCATTAAGAGATGCTCTCCCAACATCCGTTCCTCCAGCTTCTCTTTTATTGTCTCCTTGTTGCAGAGGGAGGTCCTAGAGGCCCCAGGGCTTCATACTATCTCCATACACAAAACCTACCTTTTTTAAAATCCAAATTTTATTCTCTTTTCGTCTGTCCTTTACCCAAACTTTTGATTTCTATATCTATTCTGTCTACCTACATACAACATACATATATTCAGACATTCTGGGCTTTTTGATGTTCTTTCCTTTCTTTTCTTTCTCTCTTTCTTTCTTGCTTCCTTTCTTGACAAATAATGTATTATTTGTTTCAGGGGTACAGGTCTGTGATTCATCAGTCTTAACACAATTACACAATAGCACATACCCTTCCCAATGTCCATCATCCAGCTACCCTATCCCTCCCACCCCATGGGGAGGGTATGTGCTGTGATGAGTGCTGTGAATTATGTAAGACTGATGATTCACAAACCTGTGTCCCTGAAACAAATAATACATTATATGTTAATAAATGCTTAAATTCTCCCTTTTTCTGAGAAACTCGTTTTAAAACTTATGTGCCACAGAACACTAGTTCTAAGAGATGCCATGGGGAAAAAGAAGGAGGAATCTTAGGTCCAACATGTCTACTTCTTGGAGAATCACGGTCTACATCAGGCTCTGGAAAGTCCTGCAGAAAAGAGATGTATTTTATTTTGGACTACTGTTTCTCAAACTTATTTTACCACAGTGCTTACCCCCATAACTTTTTGTTGGTTTTGGTGGTGGTAGTGTTCATTTTGTACATCTGTTAATATCCCTACAACAGTGAGAGCATCATTGAGACATGCTCTCCCCACATCTTTCCCTCCAGCTCTTCTTCCACTGTCTTCCCATCATATCACACAGTCTCCCTTCCTAGCCTCTGCCACTCCCAATTGATATGCCATCATGCTACAGGTAGGAATCTTACTCTTAAGATATAGTTTCCCCATAACCCATGGGAATAGGGAATAGAATAGTGCTTATCAGGGGCTGAAGGGTAGGGGAATGGGGAGATACTGGTCAAAAGGTTCAAACTTTTAAGTGTAAGATGAATACATTCTGGGGATCTAATCTACAGCATGCTATCATGACCAGTACTGTATTATATACTTGAAAATTGTCAAGAGAGAAATCTTTAACATTATTGCTATAAAAATGGCAATTACATGAGGAGATGGAAGTATTAACTAACTCTATGGTGAGCAACATTTCACAGCATATAAATGTATCATCATTGTGTTGCACACCTTAAACTTACATATGTCATATATCAATAATATCTCAGTAAAGCTGAGGAAAAAGATACAGTTTATTCAGTTGCTTTCCTTGTTCATGAGGCTCTGTGTTGCCTGACCCATCACACATAAATACCATAGCCTGATATTCTAAACTTTGGATCAATATCTGTAGCCTTCACTATTATAATTCATATTGTCATTCCAATCTGTGTGTTGTTTGTCCCAGCACATGGTTGACTCATTTCTTTCTTTGCATATATTATGTCTCCCACCTCTCTCTGATAGATTATGCCTTACTTCCCTTAAGGTTCATTTAAAAATTCACCTCCTGCAGAATCTTTTTTCTGTCCTAGCACAATTCTATTTTATCTCTTTAATGCATCAACACTTATGTAATCCTGGGCAAGAGGGTTTGGGAATACTGGGAGACAAAACTGGATGGGAAGAGTGTCTGGCATATAGCATGTGCTATTTTTAAGCCCCTTCTTTGTAAATGACTAATACTAAATATTATACATTATAGCAACAACAACAAAATGATACCTGCATTCTTTGCCATTAATAAGCCCAATTCATGGTGTCCTAAGGTTAGAAAGGGAAAAAGAGATTATCTGGTCCCATCATTTCATTTTCAGGGTGAGCTAATGGAAACGTGATGACATTAACTTAATTGTCTAAGGTCACATTTGTGGCTGAGCTGGAACAAAAGTACAGGCTGTTTGATTCTTCACCCAGTGCACTTTTCACTTCCCCAGGCTAGCTGTCTCAGTCACCAGTTGTCCATGTGAACAAATTGCCACCCACGCCATTACATGAGAGTTGCCAGATGATAAGAACTTGAGGTTTTCATAAAAGGGTGGAGAACACTTTGGGCCGTGGCATTCAGAAGGAGCTAGGTACAGTGAAGACTCAAAGCAAAGGACTGGTAAGATCTAGAAAGGTGGAAGTTGTGAGGTGAGGTAGGACTATCATTTAATTGGGCAGAAATCAAAAGAAGCAAGTGTTGGGAAAGAAAAGAGTATAAGATGTGTTCAGCAGGAGATGCACAGACAACCTGGTGGAAGATAAGAAATAAGACTAAAGGCAGCCTCTCCTGTCTGTGTGCCTTGGGCACCTCCTAACCTGTCAGGAAATGATGCTTTCATTTCTCTGATCAGAATTTATAACAGGAAGCCTGAAAAGAGTTCTATAATGGTGGCACAAAACATTTTCTAAAGGCAGAGGCAGAGTCGTCGGTTTACTCCACGCTGCTGTTCACAAAGGGGCCTGCTGTGTTTGTTTTATTTTCCAAGAACCAGAGGCGGGCTTCCCCATACCACTCCTAATGTGGCCGCCACACACTCTTTTCTCTTACTGCGAATACTCATCTGAGATCCTTGCAGCTATTTTAGGGACTTCAGGTAAAGGGGCCTTCCGGGGTAATGCCAAGGCTTCTCGTAGTCTTAAAATTAGCTGCAGGCTTCAACTTTTAGGATGCAGTGCCCGCTGGTAATTAAATTCTGATAATAGCCAAGAATGGAAGTGTTCCAGGAAAGCAAACTCTGCAGAGTTGAACCATGTATGGGCATTGCAAGTGTGACCTGTCGCATGTTCATTTGGCAGGCACCTTGGGGCTCCATGACTGCCACCGAGCATGAATGCATGGGCACCGAGGGATGCTATCAAGGATACCAGATGTTGTCAACACGCAACGGTCTCCCGTCAGCAGGGAAATTCTGAGGCGATCCAAAATCATTTATCCACACGCACCTCAAAGCCAATGTGAGAAATTCATTTCCAAAGTGGGAAATGTCTATTCTGTGTCGTTGTTTCCAGACAAAACCCCTTCTTGTATAATACCAGATGACAAATGGTGCAGCTGCTCTTCTATTGGACACATAGAACAGCCAAAGAGGAGCAATTGCTACATTTACCATACATAATCCCTACCCAATGGGCTTAGAGAACTGCTTGCTTTTTTATGTGTCATCAACCAGATGACATCGGAAAGTCATTTTAAAAATAGCCCCTGCATGGTAATGAGTAAGTTCATTCATCTCAAGAGGCCAAGTGTTCATTTCAATTAAAATAAATAAAGAGCAAAACTATCACTGCCTTGTGTGTGGTGTTAGGAGAAGGTGTGGCACTTGTAAGTGCTGAGAGAGTTGGAATTCTAGAAAAATAAGGCATTTTGAGTAATACAGGAAGTATTACTTAATACTTAGTAATACAAGAACGGGAGATTCACACTCTTTTCCATTTTCTGGATGACTCTGATCATTCAGATAAGATCCACAGATGAGAAAACTAAGGACCAAACGCCTTGTCCCTGCTGCCCCTGCAGGGCCCTTGATATAGCCCAGCGTTCCAGCCAATGTTCTCATGGCTTTCTCACTGTGAAGGATCACTTCTTGATTGCTGTTATTGCTGATTCATCTAGGTCAGGGACACCGTCATAATAAACTCCCATCCTCTCATTCATGTAACAGGTTCATATTAAATCAGCCCTGTCGTGTGGGGATTCCAAAAATTGATTTCTTATCTTGTGCCTCTGTGCTTGGGTGGCTCTGTTGGTTTGCAGGTCACTAATGACTTCTTTTGGGTCTGAGATTTAGTTTTTCCCCTCCTACTCATTTTAGAGATAGGGGAATTTCCCCCAAACTCAGATTGCCTGACAGAAGCTCACAACTTTGGGTTGGGTCTCTCTAGGATCTCTGTCTGTGGTCTAATACTTTGATCTCCTTTGACTCTCTTCCAGCCTTGTGGGGCCTCTTGGGTGAGGCTCTATCTGACTGATTCCCTCTATCCATTGATTCCCTCCATCCACCCTGAGGCCCTCAATTTTAATGACCAAGCTTATAGGACACAAATACTTCCTTTGTTATAATTGTTATTCCTAAATATTCTTTTAGCTTTAGATATCACCTTACTACTTTCAGTGTTTATTTGTTCAGCCAAAAACATGGATGATTTCTATTTTGTGCCAGGAACTAAAGCTGATGTGAAAAAATAATAAGATATAGTTCTTTCCTTGAACAAGCTCAGTCTGAGGTGACATTTGGGATGATCATATCTTATATCTGCATAACACTTTAATGTTCACAAAGAACTTGCACGTATGATTTCTTGACCATTACGCTTTAAGCTACAGATTAATCTAATTTTCATATGCAAGACCACAACTATTCCAAAAGAGTCATGAAACTAGCTTTCTCATGATGTAATTCAAATTCATACTGGAGAGAAACCTTATAAAAGTAATGAATGTGGGAAAGCCTTCAGCCAGAATCATCACCTTTTCCAGCATGCAAGAATTTGTACAGGGGAGAAATGCTATAAATGTTTCATTGCTTGAGCAAACTGGTTTTTTGACCTATATTAGCTGGTGGATTTTCTATTTAAAGAGACCTCCTTTCAGGGCCATTTGGGGTTTTAGTACCAGGTTCATCTCTTTTAAATTGAGAGAATGCAATTTATGCTTTTGAAATATGATTTATATAAGTAGCTTAGCACAATGAAAATTATTAAGCTTGCAGAAAGTCTGATGGGATCACATAATATTATTTTTTGCACATTTTGGTGAAAACCAACAGATTGAATATCACTATAATCAGATAAGGCATAGCTATACCACTGGAAAGTGCAAAAACACCTAAAAATGTTTTGTTGTCTCTTTGGTCAACTGAAAGATATACTTTTGAGAATTTCAAGAAATGGGAGTCCGTGACATCCAGTGCCAAATCCAAGAAGGTGTGATGGCAGCATCACTTTATGGAGCTACATTTTTAAAATTCAAATACTCCAGGGTCTTACTTACTTTTAGATAATTTGCTATAATTATAGGGTAAGTTGCCTGCCAGGTGCAGGTTAGTGCCATATATTTATATATAAATAGGCTTGAGCTCAACAGGTGGATGGACAAGAGGAAAATAGGGAAACCCAGATCAAAACATCTACTACATTTTGGTAACCTGGGTATGCTTAGACCCCAGAGATGACTTTGAAGTTGGTTCTTCAAAAGCTAGAGAGATATAATTGGCCTCTGAATAGATGCCCTTATAAGAGCAACTTGGGTTGTCAGTCATCATCATAAACCCCGTTGTGTATGTTAAAGTTCAAAATGTTGTGGTCATCCAATGAATTATTTCAGAATTCCTCTACTCCTTCGCAATTCAGTCTTTAAAGTGAGAGGTAGAGTAAGTGCCTAAGAAATAGCCTTTACCTTAAACAAGTACCTTAAAAGAAGGGGCCTTTGCAAAAACATAATCTTCGGGTAAAAGAATCAAGAATTTGGATATTGGAAGCTGCCACTGTATCACAGAAGTTTCTGTGTAAAACTGTTCTCCTTCCATCCCCGCCCCCAAAGTAAAGCTGTTTCAAAGGAATGGCTGGGGATGTGAGTAGGGTGCTGTGCCTAATCACATACAGCAATTCTGTGTCAGAATATGTGTTTAATTGCACACAACGTGTTCCTGGGCAGTATTCTCTGTTCCCTTCTGTCTTATTATTACAATCTGAAGAGAAAGGAATGAGTTAAAGAAACTAACCTTAATGATTATTTCCTATATCCCAGCCTTTGACATTGACATTCTTGTGAAAATATGTTGTCCTCATTGTTACGGAGATTGGGTTCTGGAGGTATGAGATTCTTATTCTACAGCTTGGTTATTTGGGCAGTGCTGCAGTACAAATAACAGTTTTGGTTTTTCTATCCACCAGCAATAACCATTAGAAAATGCAACTTTTTAAAAAAGAACTCCAACTCACAAAAGCCATACAACTATTAAGTACTCAAGAATCAACTAAATATACCAGAACTTTATAGAGGAAACTATAAAGGTATGCTGAAAGAAATGAGAGAATGTTTGGATAAATGGAAAAACAGTTACAAATGTAAGGACTCGATATTGTAAAGATGAAAGTTCTCAAAGTATCTTCAAATACAATGCATTCCCAATCAAAATTCCCACAACATTTGTCATAGAAAAGTGTTTGTGCAAAAACAGCTAAGATGATTTTCAAAATAGGATATTAGGAAGTATTACAATGAAAATAATGTAATTGTGGCTTAAAATTAGGTAAATAGAACTATGGAACAGACTAGAGGGTCCAGATGGGTGCATATAGTTACATATGATTCTGTTAGAAAAACAGTAGGATTTCAACTCCTTGTGGTGGGGATGAACAGCTCAGTAATGGTGTTGAAATAACTGATAATCCATTCACAAAAATGAATTCTTGATGGATTGAAGAACTATGTCTTTATATGTGTATGTATCTGTGCACATGTGAGCTACACACATTTACCCTGAGAAGTATTTACATGTGTGCACAGGGAGGCTTATACAGGGAGATTCATGACATGATCATTTTAAATAATGAAAAGAGCAGGAACAATATCCATTATTTTTAGAATTGTGAAACAAACTATGATACATCCAAATACAGGCCATGCATATATAAAAGAAGGAAGTGTACTCATATGTAATCACACTGAAAGATCGCAGAATCAGAGGAAATTACTGCCTGTGTTCTCTTTTAGGATTTTCAGTTTCCGGTCCTACATTTAGGTCTGTAATCTATTTTGAATTTATTTTTGTATATGGTGTTAAAACGTGGTCCAATTTCATTTTTTGCATGTAGCTGTCCAGTTTTCCCAGAGCCATTTATTGAAGGGACCTGATTTTCCCCCATTGTATATTCTTATCTCCTTTATGATAGATTAATTGACCATATAATCAGGGCTTTATTTGGGGGCTCTCTATTCTCTCCTGTTGATCTATGTTGTCTGTTTTTGTGCCAGTATCATAGTGTTTTGATTACTGTGGCTTTGTAGTATAAATTGAAATTTGGAATTGTGGTACCTCCAGCTTTGTTTTCCTTTCTCAAGTTTGCTTTGGCTTTTGGGGTCTTCTGTGGTTATTGAGAGTATAAGTTGTTGCAGCAACCACTGTGGAAAATCGACTACAATTTTTTTTTTGCCTTTGGGAAGTGGACTGATCAAGGTTTTCAAGGATGACTGGCAGAAAATTACTTTGTGCATCAGGAATTACATAAGGAAGGCTATATGGTTTGTTCTTAAGTTTCCTAGCAGAGTAATGAGAGGAACAGAACTTATCAATCTCAGAAGAACCTTTGGAAATTAAAAGGTCAAGACATTGAGGACTAATGAATGAAATGAATTATGGAAGCTAAAAATACACTAATTTTCCATTACTTTGGGGCTAAATATTTTGGAAATATAAACATGATGGGCAAGAAGAAAAGAAGAAAGTCTAAGCATTTGATCATATTCCTGAAAGGACCATAGATTGCTTTGGCATAATCACTCACAATCTATTTTCCTGTGGTGTTAGGACATGTATTATTCTAATGTTTAGAGAGAATGCCAGTTTCCACCTAAAGATGTAATTACAGAAGTACACACAGTTTACTGTTTAGATGGGCCACAGAAGTATACAGAGGAGTTCTACAAATCTTCTTTTGTTCTCCAAAAAAGTGTCAACTAATGCTTCACCCAATACATATGGTCAGAACATATTTTTTTGATTGACTGGAACAATATCTTTAGGTTAACATAAAGCGTTAAGATTCAGGAATTATCTCCCCAACTACACAATGACTAAAGAGAAGCTTAAACCCACCCTACCCTTCCAGGTGATGCATCAGAGAAATTCTGATTCTGTAGCATTCTCTTACTTGAATAATGTGGACATCTATATATGGTGATAAACCTAGTTAAGAACTTCTGATGTCCTGTTGAATATTTATATGTTGTATAGATCTCACTGTTAAACTCATCCTCTCAGTGGAGGCATTTGTCAGCTCTCCTGGTTAAGGTTTGGGGAAGCTGATTGCTGAAAGGAAAGGAATAAGAAAAATTGTAGCTCTGGCATTCCAGATAAATAAGCTCCTAGCAGTTGAAAACCACTGAAGTCATACTCTGAAATACAGATCTGTCTTGAAGACTTAACTGCTGGATTGAGAAATGAACAAATACTGAAATACACTAAATCCTTCTCAAAAGACACCCAGTTTTAACAGCCATCT